CGGCGGGGATGTCCTGGCCCCTTGCCCCGGGCCAGCTGCTGTCCCGGCCACCTTAACGCGGCCTCTCTTGCTTGCCCAGATGTCCGTGCACCTCACCACAGCTCTGCATGTGACTGGGACCAGCTTCTTTGCCCTGCTGGTGCTGGGGGGCATCCTGGCCGCCTACGTCACTGGCTACCAGTTCATCCACGCTGAGAAGCACTACCTGTCCTTTGGGCTGTATGGCGCCATCCTGGGCCTGCACCTCTTTATCCAGAGCCTCTTCACCTTCCTGGAGCACTGGCGCAAGGGGCGCCCAGTAAAGGTGCTGCATGCTGTGGTCCTGTGCATTGTGGCCTACCAGGAGGACCCTGAGTACCTGTGGAAATGCCTGCACTCCATGAAGTGCATCTCCTTCCCTGACCGCGCGTGGTGCTGGTGGTGGACGGCAACAGCCCCGACAACATGTATATGCTGGACATCTTCCGCGAGGTCATGGGCTCCGAGAGTGCCGGCTGCTATGTCTGGAAGAGCAACTTCCACGCGCGGGGCAAGGGTGGGACAGAGGATGGGCTGCAGGAGGGTGTGGACCATGTGCAGCACCTGGTGCATGCCAGGCCCTACGCCTGCATCATGCAGAAGTGGGGCAGGAAGTGTGAGGTGATGTACAGGGCCTTCCACGCGCTTGGCCACTCCATCGACTACATCCAGGTGTGTGACTTGGACATGGTGCTGGACCCCGCCTGCACAGATGCTGTGCATCCTGGAGGACGACCCCCGCGTGGGCAGTGTCAGCAGAGATGTCCAAATCCTGAACAAGTATGACTCGTGGTTCTTGTTCCTAAGCAGCGTGTGGTACTGGATGGCCTTTAACGTGGAGCAGGCCTGCCAGTCCTACTTCGTCTGTGTGCAGTGCATCCTTGGGCCACTGGGCATGTACCGCAATGCCCTGTTGCAGCAGTTCCTGGAGGACTGGTACCACCAGACCTTCCTGGGCAGCCAGTGCAGCTTTGGGGATGATGGGCACCTCACCAACTGCGTGCTGAGCCTGGGCTACTGGACCAAGTACACGGCCCACTCCAAGTGCCTGATGGAGATGCCCATGCACTACCTGCGCTGGCTCAACCAGCAGACGTGCTGGAGCAAGTCGTACTTTCAGGAGTGGCTGTACAACGTGCTGTGGTTCCACAAGCACCACCTGTGGATGACCTACAAGTCCGTGGTCACCGGCTTCTTCCCCTTCTTCCTCATCGCCACCGTCATCCAGCTCTTCTACCGGGGCCGTGTCTGGAACATCGTCCTCTTCCTCCTCACCGTGCAGCTGGTTGGCATCGTCAAGGCCACCTACGTCTGTTTCCAGCGGGGCAACGCTGAGATGATCTTCATGTCCCTCTACTCCCTGCTCAAGATGTTTGTCATTAGCATTCTTCAACATTTTGTTTCGACAGAATTCAGTAGGTTAGGTCCTGTGTAGATTCAGGTCATTGTCAGAGAATCTGGGCTGCTAGGAAGTAATATAACATTTTGTATTGATTTTTTGGATATTGGGTACATGTTTACTTTTACATTTTATTTGTATAAACTTTGACATGTAGGGCTAAATCCTATTGCATTTCATGTGCCAAAAAATATGTACACAATCAGGTAATTGCATTTTTTTTGATGCATACAAACAGCCTGGGATTGGTTTTTGCTACAGAATCACTGTGAGCACATACATGACAGAAATAAAATGGAAGAGGAAGGCCATAGTCTGGTGGTTATGACAGTTTCCCAGGAGAGGGAGACCTGAGTTCTCAGTGCCATTGGTCCAGAGTGGGTTAGAATCTGCTTTGTCTGCATCCCCACAAATGAGTTTCATCTCCAGCCACAGGCTTGGCATTAGCCAGAGTACTCTCCAGCTTGTGGTGAAAAATCTATCCCCTCTAAAGGCCTGAATTTATGTCCAGAAAAATATCCTAATAAAATACTTCAATATGGAGAACTAAAATAATTACTTTGACACCTCCACCTCAAGGAATATTTCCACAACCAAAATGAATCCACTTCCAACAACACTTTATCTTTTGATCAACCCCCCAAAACTGAAAAAACATCCGCTTGGATACCTCAAAGTGGACAAAATTCTAACCTTGACTGCTCTATTGATTGGTTTAGGGAAAGAATGAACAATGGAATAATCAACAACCCATGCCACCGTACAACCTCTCCCTCTCAGAGAAGGGCCATAGAACCTCTAATAGCTAACCACCAAATAGTAATAGAACCAGCAGATAATGAGGAGCTATAGTTCTCCTGAACTGTGAAGACTACATAAAGAAGCCAACAGACAACTCTCTGACACCACCTACTACAAAAACTAGAGAAAGATCCTACTCCCCTTTGCACTTTGAAACTCAAAACAACAATCAAATAATTTTAATCAGAACTACAAAAAAAAATCTACAGACCTTGATTCCTTCACTACCTAACCCAAGGACTTTTTACATACTTCCTAAAATCTACAAACAAGGGAACCCTGGCAGATCTATCATAGTAAGGACCCAAAGATATTACTGAATGTATACATTTCATCTTCACACAAAAAACAACTTCACTTTCAATAACCAGCACCTACTCCAGACCATGGGCACAGCTGTGGGCACGAAAGTGACCCCACAGTATGCCAACCTTTTCATGAACCACCTGGAAGAAAAATTCTGCAAGACTGCATCATCAAATCCTTGCTATACTTAAGATATATCACTCACATCTTCATCGTTTGGACTGAAAACCTGCCATCTGATTGATTTCCATCAGAAATTCAACACTCACCACCCCTCTATCAGACTGTCTCTTGAATACTCCAGCACTATTTCCTTTTTAGACATGATGATCACTATCCAGAATGGTAAAATACATACCGCCATATAGACGAAGACTGTGGACCAACATACATATTTGCACAGATCCTGCAATCACCCTAAACACACCAAGAAAGCTGTAATGTACAATGAAGCCCTCTGATACCACCAGATTTGCACTGATGAGAACACCAGTAATTGTCACCTCACAAATCTCAAAAGAGCCGTCACTCCACAAGGACACTCCTCCAGGGACAGAGAGCACACTTTTGAAAGCACTACCCAAATAACATGTGAAGAATTGCTGCAATACAGAAGGAAATCCCCCATGAATTGCCACCATTGGTTATGACACATCATCTCTCCCTGGATCCTATACAGAAAATCATCAAAAAATTGCAATCCATACTAGAAGACAACTCAATTCTTAAAGAGATCTTCCCAGAACCACCCATTCTAGCCTTTAAACAATCACAGAACCTTGCCAACCTCATCACCAGAAGCAAACTTCCTAAGACCCAAAATGCACAGAATGGATCCAGACTGTGCCATGACAAGAAATGTTAAACCTGCCAACATATCTCCACCAAACCCCCACAATTACTACACCCTACAATTGAACCATCAACATTTCTGGATCTTGCATCTGCATCTCCAGAAATGTTATATATCTCATCCAGTGGACCAAATGCCCTGATGGAAAATATGTAGGAGAAACCAAACAACAAGTGCAGACCAGAATGAACACACGCTGATAACCCAAGACAGGAATACCCAATTATTTGTGGGGGAACATTTTTCACAAGAAAATCACTTTCTCTAGTCTCTCGGTTCTAATCTTCAAGGGGAATTGACAAAACACCTTTCACAGACGGGCCTGCGAACTTCACTTCATCAACCTACTGGATGCAAAAAAACTGTGGAATAAATATAGACACTGGATTTATGACACATTATAACCTGTCTAACATCTGATTCCCTGGGTAACCTCTCTACTTTTTACCAGCTATTATCATTCTCTACCCCCACCCCCATCTCTCACCCATTGACTACCTCACTTTACATTTTCACTGACTGGCTTTCTTGCATTCATACTGGCTTCTGGCTTCTTCACTCTTTCTTCCAGGAAGAGCACAGACCAACTGCAGACCCTTCCTCAGTCTGACAACGGGTATTTGTACCCGAAAGTTTGCAAAGAATAATTTTTCCAACTCTCTTTGAATTGGTCTAATAAAAGAAATTGGTTGTATCCAAAGAAACTTGTCTGCCATAAGTACACAAGCACTTTTGGATGAGAAGACCTTAAAATAAACTTTATTTGTGGAGTGTTAGGGAACCTCTACAGACCTGTTGCATGGCTCTGACTGTCTAGCTTAACTGAGGGACCATCCTCTATTTTGTCTAAGTAAGGGAGTATCTTTAAATTTTTACTTTTATTATTATTGTTGCACAGGTCTCCATTTGAAATTGATCCACTGCACCTTGCAATTACTATTTATTGGCTAAGTAGATAAACAACACTTGGAAAGTGTCTGTTCCATTGTAAGCACAGGCCCAGACCAGAATTCAGGGTTGTCTCTTTTTCCTCCAGTTCTTCCATCTAGCACTTGATATTTAGATATCTAAATCTAAAATTTAGATTTTAACTGGCTTATTTCGCCAGCTGGCTGCCTGGCCATAATGCAGGGCCATTCAAGGATACTTTGTGGGCATGAGTACACTTCTGCACACACAACTAATTTGTGAACTGTGGCAGTGTGCCAAAAATTGAAGCTAAGTGACTCTGTGCCTTCCGTGTCAATACTTAGAGGTAAATAGGATATAGTACAGAAACTCTACAGAGATCCTAGTGCTCAAGGAAGCAGAACCCTCTACTTTACTGAAAGTTGTGGTGTCTGTGACCAGCTTGCCAATTGTCAGTAAAAAAATCAGGCTAAAATTGGCTGTCAGAACATACCATAAAAAACTTTAGCCATCAATAAAAACACTAAGCAGTTCCAACAGAATCAACACGGGAGAACTACCTGGTGTCTGAGCAGGAGTGCAGCACTTTTCAGGAAGTGTTGTCTCATCTGCATGCTACTGCTGGTATGTCCCAGACTACCTGTAATACTGCTGAGTCACAATAGGGCTTCTTTGGGGGTCCATGCTGGGATGGTGGGGGAGCAGAGCTGGTGGGAGCAAGTCTGTGGAGTGGGCTTGGGGAAAGAAGTATGGTGCATGGTGTGGGGTTAAGAGTCCTCTGAGGGTGTGGGAATGGGGTGGGGGGGCAGCATAGTGTAAAACCATCACTGCAATCAAGTAGGGGTACCAATTCAAGACTCATTTTTTAGCTTTTTGTAAAGCTTTTCACTTACAACCAAACAATTTTATTAAGGTTGATGTTAAACCCGTAAATTTGAACCTATCCACTTAACTGGGGCCTGGCAGCAGGGCAGGGCCTAGCAAAAGACTGCACTTGCATTATGTAAAGCATATATCAGTAAAAGCAATTGTCAGTAAAAAAAAAAAAATAATAAAAAAATGTTAAAAAGTTTGGATGCCAGTGAAAACCTTGCAGATTGTCAGGATTTTTTCCCCCTTTTTTGCAGTTGGTAACCTTGTCTGTGATTATGCTAAAAGGATAAGGAATAAGATGAGGGGAATGGGAACACAATTTTTTTTGTTATCTTAAAGTATTTTGTAGTTTTGATCTTATAGACAACATCTACCTATTACAAGAAGTAAAGGGGCTAGTGTTATGCCAGAGAAAAGATTATATGAACTCAAGGATCTGGATTTAGAATCTAGGGAAAAAAATCAAAGGGTTCTGTTTCTGTTATGGACCATATGGAACAAAAAAAAAAAATGCCTGGATTCAGATATTGC